AAAAGAAACCTTCCCATGCATCAATCGTTGTTGAGCGTTCTTTTTCCCACGCGCAACTTGTGTAATTCTCTTAAGCAGAAGAGGTGAGAATACAGCCAGTACCTAAATGCTAAATCTGTCAGGAATGAAAAACCAGAAAATCATGAGAGTCGGCGAATAATACAGATATAAGTTCTTCAGTGCATTTTGCCAACTTGCTGCTCAGCTTTAGATTATAAGGGATAAAGGGCAGAACCGGAAAAAAAACGTAAATATATTTTACCTAATAATATTAACAATAAACTAACCTCATCATAAGAACCTTCTCCAATGGATAAGGTTAACTTGGCAGTATCAAAGATACGTTCGAGTACTTTGGATTCATCACCTGACGTGCACCACTTTTCAACCACATCTAAAACATGCAATTCAAGAAGATAAAAAGGAAAATCCCAAAAGACCTTTTTTCACTTGAGCATGCGGAACTAAAATACCCTATCGAACTCACTTTTGTAAACTAAAGAGAACTGCCCTGACGCACGGGCTGACGTTAACAGAAGTTTGAGGAAAGGCTCCAAAGCTGAGCTGTCACATTTCTGGAACATCAAATATTTAAATCGATCTTAATGTTAGGAACCTTTTAAATAACAATATAACCTTGATGATGAGCACTAAAAAGGTAAGGTCGTCATCACTAAATGTGCAAGTTCCATCTTTTTGCACAAAACTGACACAGTCGGCGATATAGGACTGTAATATAGCTTTCATATATTTCTATTGCCTTAAATACAAAAAGGTTAGCTAATTGAGGGCAAACTTCCGACTTACAGGAAAGCGGTCCTTCAATAGCAATGCCAAATAAACAAATTCCACAGAGGAGCTAGTAAGTGCAGTCTCAAGATAATTTCTGATAGTTGGCAAAATTTTCTGTAAAACTGACTATGAACTTTGAAAAAACAAAAAAAAAATTCAAGATAAGAGCTCACAGATTTGAAAGTCTTCTTGTCCATTCCTGCAGCAATTTCAGCAACAAGTTGCACAATTGTCATACCCAGAGTAGGATACGAGCGATAAATTTGAAACTCGCGTTCCAGCAAAACAGTGTCACACTAAATACATCACACAGGGAATCAGTGTAGGTAAACAATTTAAGGTGAACAAACCTCGTCATAAACATCTGACTGGAAGATAGCGCAGGCTAAGAGATGATGAGCAATAGCATTTGCACAACCGCTCTCCTAAAACTGACATAATAAAAAAAGAAGATAGACTGTATCACTGTTAGTAAAGTATTCAAAAGGTAGTCGACCTTGTCATGGAGATCAAGTTTCTTGTCAGCTAAGTCGAATAATTTTTCAACCGTCCAATGATCATGGTATTCTGATAGAAGAAGAACAAGAGCAGTTGAATAACTAGAAAAAAACAATTCATAACACCGGAGGCTTAAAAGGAACTTCCATCTCCCTTTCATGTAAGAGCTACTGTTTTTTTTGACATCTTG